CTGGAGCGTTACCAACATGTGTTCAAAACCCCCCTCCCACTTTATTTCTTCAACTGCAAGTGCTTGGAGATCCTTTTCAATGTGACAGATACTCTGGACAAACTATCCAATGGTTTACAGCTCAACTGCATCATGACAGGAAAAGAAAGTTGACTTCCAGAGGAATTTAAAATGAATGACAAGCTTCCACACCTTTGCCATCTCTCACACTCATCTTGTATTCCACTTTTTCACCCTTTCACCTTCTCATTTTCTTCCTCTCTTGCCATCTCCCGTCTCTGCTGTCACACTCCAGTTCACACGCGGCCTCACCTGCAAACAAAGCCCCATTTTAGTCTCATTGCGCAAGCCTATTGTCTATTCACGGCAAAGGCATGGCACAAATCAATCATCTTTCTTAATGGAAACTCCACATTAGCCTGTGAAGACACTTCATTTCCGCCACGGACCGCCAGGTCGACTGGTACCTGAGTTCTAGCCAATGTAGACCTCGGGGGCCAACAGGCATTCTCATTTCAGGCGGGATAGCAAGGTGATGGCGCCCGGTCTAGGGGTGGCAGCCGGAGTCAATGGCGTATTAACTCGGGATGCGATAGCGGCAATAAAAATGCAAATTAACAGCCAAAGCAGGGGATGGCCCTGATCTGCCCTTCATAAGATGGCACAATACAGTCACTACTCGTGCCGAGACATGTGGTTCAACACGACTCAGCCACAATATATGATGAATGGAAGGAACACAAGAAAGAATTTTGAATATGAGGGCAACCTTGAGACGGCAGAAGTTCTGAGTGTAAATTTCTGTGATTTACTTCCCGGGAAGTATGCTGTCACACCAGGAAAATGTCATATTGCTTTGTTTTCTGTGTACAATACATGGGAAAATGAAGCTTCAAATTTGCTTCATGAACCAGTAGTTGTATTTTATTTTGACTCCTCTAAAGGGCACTCTTTCTTCGACATTCGGCTGAAAGTACACAAACTTTTAAAATGGCAAGTCAGTGTGCCATCGAGTTGAGTCATAAAATACAATGACTGGCTCAAGAAGCATCTTGAAGCTTCAATTTCCCATCGCTACCATGCACTACTGTAAAAGTGGGTGTGTTTGGAGGACGAAGAGCCGCTACGCTCCCGTTACTTTTCGAACGCAGCCAGCACTGGCGCAATGTGTGCCCACTGGGAGCGCCTAATACCTAGTGCCGTTTTTTGGTGCAACCTAATAACGACATATTTGAGAAATGCTCTAAGATTACGGACAGTCGCAGTGAACCAGTGAGTGCTTGGAAGGCAATTCTGAACTCGCCCCCAATGCACAAGTAACTGAAAGAATCACCACATTCCCCCCCTGCCCTCACAAACACACTCGGGTACAGCTGCAGCACAAACACGGAAACAGGAATTGTATTGGAATGGCTATTAAAAGGTTGGCGGGGAAAAGGAAACTCCCAAACTATGCAACTATGCTTCTATGATGGGTGGGGGTGGGTTTACTCTGTGGGATCTGGAAAAAAAATGAACTCAGCACATGCACAGAGCCACAATAAAGTTATTTCAACAACACCCGAATTCTTGCCCATGGGAGGGGGTAGGTACATGGGACTTTAGGTCTGTCACTGCCCTGCGGTTAACTGGCGACCAGTCCAGGGCTGTAGGCCTCCTCTTGTCCAAAGTCAGTGAGGATGGGTTTCAGCCGACACACGAATCTAATGAGGACAAGAACTATTCAAAACGAATGGTTGTCTGTCACCGTATCCCATTTTTGTGAGTGTAAAATAACTGGAGCCCGTCATGAAGATCTGTGTTAAGTTAGTTTCCTTTTTACAAGTAAGGCAATATGGAAATGACTCCTGGGAAGAACAGCGAGGCTGCTATACATCAGGCCGGCGGCATGACTAACTGTCGACCTGTTTATCCATAATCACACACGGTGTGCAACATGTCTCTTTTCACTACAATGCACAAGCCGGATTAGGGTTTACCCTTCTGTACAATTGAACTGTGGAAATTTGGCTTGACGGGTGATCAGTCTAGTGTGCGCCCTGCTTCGAGTCAGCTGGGAAAGGCTCCAGCCACCATGTGACATTAAACAGACATAAACAGAAACAGAAGAGAAACTATATGGACGGATCGCATCTCCGGAGATAACCTATATGTTTGAGCATGACCGAAACCTGGTGATAACTGATCTGAGAAAAGGTCAAATGTGTTCAATGATTTCTTACATTTACTCTAAGTCTTGTGATCAATCTGGACTCGAACATGACAGTGCTTCTTTTTGTAACATTGTTGCGTTCACCATCCGTAATGTCCTTACAATTCGTTGGAGACTGCCTCTTTAGTGGTGGTGTTGCATTATTAAATCCCGTTTGTATCAATGTGCAATTGGGAATAAGTTGACATTTCTGGAGTTGCGGCAGTGCAGTAAACCACAAGTGACGTCCTTCACCTTTACCAACCCGAAACTCTTCAAAATCCATGCGAAGGGTCATGCTGGAGAGGACACATTAGGATGAGCATGTGTCCTCGGGCTAATGTTTCTAAGTTAGACATTCTTGACCATCAGGGACACATCGATCGTCTCTCACGGCTTCTCGACGTAATGGAATATCTTCCACAGCCTTTTGTGCGTCACAGCAATTTTGTTTCATTCAAAAGGATCTCTGTGCAAGACAGCGTGGATATATTTAGTTTTCGGATTATCTGTTAGATCTTAAGTTCAGAAGCCGTTTGGCTTCTCTTCTGACTGTACCTTGAGGTTCAATTAACACATTACACCAGGCCGACTGTACTGAAATGAATGCGGTCCCAGAGAAGATGGGAATAGGTGGCATTTGCATATTGTGACGGTACCTCGAGGTTGTGCTAATGGAAAATTCGAGACTCGTATCACACATCCAATCCATACAGATGATCATTACTTTTTTGGACCACACGCTGTGGTCAATTTTCAGGTCAAGCTATTTGACATATTTACAATTCGTCGAACTTTGTCCTGTCAGTTTTGACACTGGCTTAGCTAGGAATTGCACCGCCCATCCAGCCCCATCTAATAACAAGGGGCTGGGATGCGTCAGGCAGTTTGGTGAATTGCAGTCATCATTTGTACTTTGAAAGTCAGTGTCCGTTTCATTCGTGGAATATTTTTTTGCACTCCCACACAGCCAACATGGCCATCAAACCCTGAATGGAAAACTTCTCGTATTTCACACATGACTTTTCATGTCTGGCACAGCAATGTTAAGACTGCGTGCAGGAGACAGATACAGCGCGCAGAGACCCTAGAGACAAATATTTAGATGTGAGTTTTTACAAATGGGATGCTGTAACCTGGCTGTGACGGGACAGCAATCGTTTACTGTCAGTAGGATGCAGAAATCATGTTTTGGAAAATGCGTGTGAAATTTCGGCAGATGTCCTCTGTGTGGTGCGATGAAAACACAGCGTTTGAATCACCTCAGATTGAGGTACTTGAAAAGTTCGTAGAGCTGATGAACCAAAGTGATAGCATTTGGCATGCACGTGAAATATGCAAGTATGAGTGTTATCATGAATTGTTGGGGATTTTTCTGAGACATCCTGAGCATTCATGTCTGGCGTGGATCATGCAACCACCTGGCAAAATGTAACCACCACTCATTCTCTTTTTCTTCTCTAAAACGTCGACAATGAGGGGAAGGGGGAAAAAGCGTTGATGTAAAGTGGAAGCTGGGGCTATAATGGAGATTTATTTAATCCATTTAGGCAGCGGTCCCCAACTTTTTTTGCCCCACGGACCGGTTTAATGTCAGACAAAATCTTCAGGGACCGGCCTTGAAGGTGTGACGGATAAATACAACAAAATAATATATGATCTGCATGAAAATTGTGGTATTTTCGTAACATAACAAACCCAAATCATGACACGGGGAGTGTCCGATCTGGCCGCAACCCTCTGTGGTCGCTATGGTAATGTTTACACGTGCATTCAAAATAAGATACGCCGCAAATACAAAGAGCATGAAAAATACGACTCACCGCATATTTTCCAGAGTGAGCTTGGTGCGTGAAAGTCGTCAGCTCCTCTTCTGTCTCCTGGCTGGGCCTTTTCCCCTTCCCAAAGACGTTTGTTTTTTACTCATTTTGCTCGCTCCCGGGTTTCATTTTAGCTGTAACTTATCACGTGACGGAGAAGCGCGCCTTGACCTGTGTCAAGAGTGACATACTGTAGACAGATGTAACAGAGGATCCGGTAATTTTTTACAATTCATCTTTCTGAGTCCGAAATAAATGAAACGGAAGTAATGCAAGTTAGTTATTCTTTCTGTGCGGCCCGGTACCAAATGACTCACGGACCGGTGCCGGTCCGCGGCCCGGGGGTTGGGGACCACTGCATTAAGGTCTTCATGTGCACATTTTGAGCATTATGTCTCTGATCCACTGGTGAAAGAAGACTTTGATTCCCTCCTCTTATAAGTGCTTCAACCAGCAAAGCGTATGCAGGAAAAGCGGTTAAGATTGCATAATTGTCCGCGTTTTGTGTTATGCGTGGTGTCATATTTTGTTAACTGTTTTGTCGAGTGCTCTCTTATAGCCGCAGCTGTTTTGAAAGCGCTATATAAATTAAAATGCATTGTATTGTACTCTTTTAGTAACATTTTAACATTCGTAATTGTCCAAGTGTAAAAAAAAAATACCACTTTTAATAACGACTACATCTGAAGTAGAAATGTGGGATGACATTATTTTGGAGACGAGTGACTAATTTTTCTTGACTCAGTCTCGTCGTTTTGTACTGAGCAGCCAGGACTGCCACATCTATCGTTCTCATCACATTCATCCATCCATGCAAACAGAGAAACACGCATTATTTGTTCACATATATTTTATAACATTTTTGAAGTACATTAAGTACATTTTAGAAATAGAGGCTACAGTTTATAAAACCTTTCCAGCAGAAATCATTGATGGGCCAGCATCAGCCTTTTTCTTTAGCAGACAGATCTATTTTTTATATTTCACAAAAAAAAAAAAAAAAAAAAAACAAGAAAAAAGAAAACGCTACATTGTTCAATCCTGTGCTACCTTTAATATCCCATGAAAGCACCAGATGTCTGCAAATCCTTTTTTTATATATAAAATATAAATTATTGAAAAAATATTCAAATGTTTGTGAACTAAATACAATAAAAAAGCATCTCATAACAAAAATATAAAATATACAAAAAAAACAACATGAAAACAAAAAGGTTTTCCTTCTGAATCCTTTTTTTTTTTAATGGGCGATATGCATATGCCACAAACTGAGGGTATTTACCAGCTAACGTTCTTTTAAGACATACAGTAGATCTGTGAAAGTAGAAATTGCTCTGAAATAATTGTGAAAATATCATCAGGTTTACCCCCAGCACCTGGAACTAAAAAAAGCCAACTCCATTCTGCAAAAAAATAAAAAATAATAATAATTTGTCAGCGCCAAGTTCCGCTTCTTTAAAATGGGAGGCGATATAAAAACAGTGTTTTAAACATGTAGGAGGGGGAGGAATAACAGTGTAGCTGTTGTTAACCAAACACTTAAAGGTCAAATCGGTGGAGTCCGTGCTACAGATTAAGATGGCTGGACAAACATCTTCCCAATGAAACGTCACTTGTAAAGTCAGTGGGAGACCACGAGAAGCTAAATTATACATGAGTCTTTGTGCTCAAGCCGCGTGTGCCTTTCCATTTCCAAAACTGTGAGAGAATCACGCTCATCGTCTTCCCAACTTTTGGGTCCATACACAAAATTGGGGGTCCAAAGACCTCACAAAGCTTTTGGTTGTTATTCCGGCTTTGTCGCTTGCTTATTTGCCTAATCCACATCTCTGTGGCGCATGATGAAACACAATCTGTACAAATAGACATATCCAAAGCTATTTTCATCAATATGGGTAACATTCAGCTACTGTAAACAATAACATTGTATTTATAAGATGATGCTCAACTTTGGCATTTCCCATAAAAGCCAGTGTACAGCCCATTTGCCAAACTCATCTGCAACCAGTGAATCCTAATGCGCAAACATACGTGGATGGAATCATATGCTCCCTCTAACTTCAACTCATCTCAATTCTCATTCTCAAGAGTTTCCACATATTTTCCTGAGCATGTTCTCATGAGAATTTAGTGGCATTTCCCATCAAAAGTAATGCCCCGCAATCCAGTGAAATTCATATTTTAGGGGGTACTCCGGAAAATAATAGATATAATTTTGGGGTCCAGTTAGAGCAAAACACCGTAAACTGTGCCATAAGAAATTTAGAGATGGGCATAACAATAAATAACTTCTTGTTATTTAGGAGTGATTGCGTGCAATTGGTTGTGGATGATTCGCATCGTGATGCAATTGAGGCAAAAGCGAGGCATCAAACAACGGGATCCAGAACATTCCGAGATACAGCGGATTGTGTGGAAAAAAAAAAAAAAAACAATAAATATTTTATCACTGTCACTAATAATTCCATACAGGAAATATATACATATACCACAACCAGACACTTAGAAAAAAATAACAACATTCAGTTTCCTTGGAGTCAAAATGAAATGAAATGAAATGCCAATTTGTACTTGACAGATAAACTACAGACAAAATGTTTGGTAAGAAATGTGAATCAAAAAGACGTAACAGGAAATGTGGAGCTGGATTACATTAATGAAAATAACATGGCCCATAAAAAAAAAAGAATTTTGTTTGTGGAGCGCGATTCACTTTGAATCCAACTAAATTCTCATGAGAGCATGATTTCCTTCACCTTCTCCCCATCCACCACTTGCAGCTTTCTTTCTCTCTAATCGACCCTTTCCAAACTCAACACTCCATCCTCGATTCCTCGATCTGCCTTCAGACATTCCGAGCATTCGTCCCTCAACTACACATTACCTGTGACGACTAATCAAACACTGCTGAAAACGACAGTGAACAGACATTTTTTTTTTTAATATATACTTTAAAACAACCATAGATTTCCCCGCAATGATTGTCTAACGTTTGCTAATACTGCTGGTATTTGCACAAAAAAAAAACCAAAAACAAAAAAACAACCTCAAGAATTTCAGTCAATACAGGAAAGCACACCCCAAAAAAAGTTTCATAAGCAACGGTTACTTTCAGTCGTCTCACAGACACTCTTGGTATGAGTCTCACGCCATGCAATCCCGTCAGCAAACTTCTCAAAGGTTTTCGACAGCTAGACTTGTTTGGTTCCGCTGTTTTTTTTTTTTTACCTTCATTGTTGATACATTTTACAATGTACTTTATATGCCTACTGATGGGGTTGCATTGGCTGCTGTCAGCATCAGTGAAATAATACTTAATCATATTGACGCTTTTTTTTTTTTTTGGTCCAAGCTGGGAAAAAAAAACAAAATGAACAGTTGCCTGTCTTGGTCCTCTTGTCCTGTGCTCCACCAGCACGGTGCAACCTACATCTGCAAAAAAATACTCGCAGAATATATACAATCACACCTCCAATGCAATTTTGGCTTTGTATCCTGTTAAAACCTCATCCAAGAGCACTACGACGACAAAACCAGTTAGTCATTAAACACATTTTCGCCCCCTCCCCCCCAATAAATGTTTGTTAAGCTCACTTAATGAGTGCCAGTCCAGGTGGCTTCATTGTCTTGCTTATGTTCCCGCGGACTTTCACTCGTCCGCGTCTGGCTTTACGTCCAACATGGCGTGCAGCTCCTCGGGAGTGTAGCCCAGCAAGCTTTTTAAGTCACAAACAAAGCGGTACACGTAGCGCTTCCCTGACGTCTTGTGGATGATGTTCTTATCGTAATAGTAGCGCAGGCCGCGGCTCAGCTTCTCGTAGTTCATCTTGGGCTTGTTTTTCCTCTTTCCCCACCTGCGTGCCACCTAAAGATGATGGGATGAGCGGATTAGGATTTGCGGTTACGATGATGAAATGGTAACAGCGTATGTTTTGCAGCCAGGGTAATATCACCAGAGAGTAATATCTGGAATGACGTCATCTTGTGTTACGCTCTGAGCATGATCACACTACGGCATGGAAGACGTGAGACGCGAATGCAAAGATGAAACGAGACGACTAAATCTGCATAACAAGAATTGTTATGCGGAAAAATCCGGCATCTTTTATAATTACCGTCATGGAGCCAAACAAGAATTGTTGCAAAGTAAAAGCCGCGTTTGTTCATGTGGTTAACGACTTAGGACCTCCCAGGGCGTGTGCCCGTGACCAGCGGGGTCGCAACCTCTCACCTCATCTGGGTCGGAAAGCTTGAACTCCCAGCCGTCGCCTGTCCAGCTGATGAAGGACTGGCAAGACTTATCGGTCAGCAGCTCCAGGAGAAACTGCCACAGCTGGATGGGGCCTGTGCCTGCAATCCGCACGAGAAACACAAGGTGTTCAATTTTTGGGGAAAAAGTACTCCTCGAAATCCTTTCTTCTTTTACACCCTGACCAAATCGACAACATTCATGTCGGAATTTCTGGCAAGCAGTGGCTGCGTTCTACACGTGGAAACAATCCCTTGCATTCGACATCCATCTGGACACTGGGGTAGGTGACATGACACCAACACTTTCCTTTAGAAAAGCACCCAAGCCAGGCTGCATTTTGCAAAAATATACATCAAGTATTTCATTGCCGCACAGCAATGTACAGTCGTTCATTTCAAGTGCGATGCATTGCGAAAGAAGAGAAGTCACAATATAACCCCTGGCTGACGGTGGACTACAATGTATCCCTTTGTGCTTCTTTCATGCACTTAAAAATATTCATATGGGTCAGAAGGGTGTTGAAAGTCAACCGTCTGATGCAGCCTGAACCCAAAGCAACCAACGTCCTCCCTAAAATGTCCTCCATTGTGTTTTCATTCATCTGATGGCAACCCTGTTCATACGGAATCTTAAGACAAGTTGCGGTTCTTTTTCCAGATTTCTACACCGATGAAATCACTTGTTTAAAATGACCCGTCTGGAGTAATCGGCCACTCGCGAAATACAAATTGGATGTGAGGCTTATAATTTATTATGTAATAAAGCAATAACCGGTTGGAGGCTGATGGCTTACAGTGGCGGGGGGAAAAAAAAAGTGTGAAAGCAGAACAAAGACTGTTTTAAAGAAATGACTGCTTTCTTGCCTGTGCAAGACTGCAGCACACTTTGATGTTGTGGCTTTTCAGCGTATATACATACTAACCCACCTGCTGCCGAGGCGTGCATGTTGAAATTACACCTGCGTATGCAGCACACGCTGCCACAGCAACCGCCCCCCCGCCCAAAAAAAAAAGAACATTAAAAAAGAAATATTCGGGGAAACAAAGCATGTGGGTTTCACACTTCACATGACATTTGTGAGCATGCGGCTTGTGCTTGAGTGCGGTAAAGACGCATACGGTGCTAACACTGGCTCTCTTTCACCGCTTTGACTCACATTCCAACGTCTGCCACTGCAACAGCGAGGCCCTTCAGCGGCAAATGGCCACGCTCGTGCATAAAACGCAGACTACATTTTTTTCTTATGAAAAGACAAATGTTTCCAAAAATATCATACAATGGCCTTGTACTGAAAAGGCGTACAGTGAGGCTTCACATAAGCAGACCGTCACCCAACCAAAATGGAAAATTTGATCCAACAAAGTATCACTGGCAAACAGGCTACGGGGCTAAAATATTGCCAACGATGACCAATTATGGTTATTTGAAGAGCAATCAAGTTAAAAAAAAAAAAAAGTTGCAATATTGATTTTTTTTTTCCTTCAACTTACTTTCTCAGAATTTTCGGTGATTAAAAAACTAAAGCAGTCATCTACACTGTTGTGTGAGTTTTATAAATGAATGAACATTTATTTGTGTGACTGCACACTTTATAACTTAAACTGTACTTTCTTGATGTTGGGCGCACCTCCCCCCCCGCCGTCAAAAGTGCCAATGGGTCCCATTGCCCATGCAAATATTTTAAACTCAACTCATCTGCAAGGGCTTTATATATTTTCTTGTTGCCATCAGAACAAACAGCTTCATGCAAAATAGCTCAGTGGCGTGTAAAACGTTTTCTACGCTTGTGAGCATTTCAGCTGAAGTGTGTTCAAGATGATGCGAGGCTGACAGATTGTAGTGCAGGTGGCTGTTGAAATGTCGGTTAGTCAGAGGAAACCATGGAGACGTCGACTAAGTTTTCTTCGTGTGGCCACCTCCAAAATAGTGTCACGTATCATGGCACCACTTCGGGCTTGTGCACGGCTGTATGAAAATAATTATTGAGACTTTTGAAAATATTATTGACACTTTTGAAGTAGATGTACAATTACCCTCTAAAAGTTACATTCTGATGTGTTTTGAAGCTGTTGTGTAACTTGCTTGACAATGAGAAGTTTTTGATCATCTATCCCGTCAATGCTCGCAATGTTCTCCTAAGAAACTGTTAAGATCTATTTTTTTCCTTTATGTTGTTTCGAGTTTGACCAGAAGTCACTGCATGGAAGCTGCAAGGCACAGTTTTTGATCATCTATCCCGTCAATGCTGGCAATGTTCTCCTCTCCGGCTAAGCAACTGTTAAGATCTATTTTTTTTCCTTTATGTTGTTTCGAGTTAGACCAGAAGTCACTGCATGGAAGCCGCAAGGCCGAAAACCAACATTGAATGCCGGCGACCTTTGATCCCTCAGGCAGCACTGCATCAAAAATTGACATCGGCACTGCATCAAAAACCAACATCAACGTGTAAATGATATCACCACATGGGCGAAGGAATATTTCAGAATACCAATGCCAGTAAATACAATTCGTCTCTCCATCCGAAAGTGCAACTATGCAAAGCAAAAGCCATTTATCAACAACACCCAGAAAGGCTGCTGGCTCTCAAGTTCATCTAAGATGGACTGATGCAAATTGGAAAAGTGTTTTGTGGTCTGACGAGTCCACATTTCAAATTGTTTTTGGAAATGGTAGACGTCGTGTTCTCCTGGCCAAAGACGAAAAGAACCATCCGGAACCTAGCTGGCATCTAGTAAGGTATGGGGCTGTGCTAGTGCCAATGGCATTGTTAACTTACACATCTGTGAAGGTACCATTCATGTTGAAAAGTACAGAAATATATGCTACCATCCAAGCAACATCTTTTTCATCTATTTCAGCAAGGCAATGTCAAACCACATTCTGCAAGTGTTACAACAGAGTGGCGCTGTAGTAAAAGAGTGTGGGTACTAGACTGGACTGCCTGCAGTCCAGACCCGTCTCCCATTGAAAATGCATTAGGCATTAGGAATAATGCCTAATGCATTATGAAGCGTAAAATATGACAACGGAGACCCACAAATGTGGAACAGCTGAAGCTGTACTTCAAGCAAGAGCAGGAAAGAAATCCATCCACAGTTTCAACAATTTGTGTCCTCATTTCCCAAACGTTTATTGAATGCTGTTAATAGAAAAGGTGATGTAACACAGTGGCCAACATGACTCTGTCCTGGCTTTTTTGGAATATCTTGCAGCCATAAAATTCAGAATTAATGATTATTTTATCAAAACAATAAGGTTTATCAGTTTGAACCTTAAAGATGTTGTCCTTGGAGAATATTCAATTAAATGATTGGAGACTGTTTTTATTTATGTTGAACACAACATACCGACTCTATTGAAATTGCATGCATTTGTTTTGTGAACATCATTTTTTTTTAAGGTTTGGAGACTATTACACAAGGATGTAGGGCAGGTGGCTGAGTGTTGGCCAAAACTGGTAGGTTTGAACTACATTTGCATCAGAGGAAGTTTGAAGATTTACATTATCTGCCTCTGCAAATGCCACAAAAGATGAAGCGATAATTTGACTCTGGTTGCATACGAAGGCAGGCATAATTTCAGTTTCAGCAGCGTTGCTGAGACAACCTGGAAAATGTAGGTTGAGATGTGGGCTGCAGATTATAAAAAGCGCGATTAGAAGTGCACAAAATCAACGACAGCAAGGAAAAAAATGACTGCACAAGCACTATGTATTTTGTTTCTTTTCGTGTACATGAGTGTGATTACTATTATTTCTTCGGTGAAAAGGGGGAGGTAAAGGTCATCGGACGCTATGGGTAGGCTTGGAAAAAACTTCCTTTGACAAGAATGAACTGGGTCCTGCGCAATTGAAATGTTACTTTCATCATATTATTAATATTTTCACTGTATTATTTCATTATAGGTTCAAGTACATGTACAATTACCAAAAGAAAAGTGTTTTGAAGCCATTAGACATAGAGTAGTGTTTAACTTTTCAAAGGATTTCATCGTAAACCGCTCACCTGTGTATCCTGCAAGTGCCGCCGCCGGAATGACGGGTTTGTCTTTGCTGAGGTCCGAACGTTCCCTCACGTAGTCTTTAAAGGTGCCCTTGGGCTTGTGGCCGTGCAACGCCGTGGGGTAATCCTCCGAGTCGAAACTGTCATACGAAGGTACCCGCTGTAGACTGCTGAACGACGACTGACTGCTCCAGGACTGCGTCAGGCGGTCGCAGCTTTCAAAGCTCTCGATGCTCTCAAAAGAGTCCTGGCCGCCCAGCTTACCTGCACAGAAATGGGATGGTTAAAAGAGTATCGCATTCCGTTCTAATCCATCCTGACTGATTTCCTTGAAGCCCTTTTCTTCCAAATGGTTCCTTTCTGTGATTTCCATTGTTGCATTTCTACTGTAAAGGGTCTCGAAAGACAGTCTCTGATGTGAACCTTGGTGTTGGGATGTCTGTTGCAGTGATACCCTCGTGTAGGGTGGCTGTAAACACACTTTTAAACTTTCGACAAAGCATCATCGCTTCCATTTTAGAGTTGCTCTTAATGAGCGAGCCGAAAATTAGCGTTGACCTGTTGGTGGAATAGATGAAGCTTGTCTGATACGTTTCCTTGATTGAAAAAAAAAAATGGTCACTTATTTCCGGATCATGTCACTATGCGGCACCGTAGCATCAATCAATCAATCAAACTTTGATTAAATAGCACTTTTCATCCATAAAAAAAGCAACTCAAAGAAAACATTTCAAATTTATAATATAAAAAGAGGACCACCGTCCCCTCACCATACACAAATATATCCATCCCCACAAGCAAACGTATGCTCACACACACACTCGCATGCACACAAACACACAAAATTTGTACACTTACGCTAATGATCCTGATATAAAAAAAAAAAAAAGACATGGCAAGGCACAGCAAAACCATATGAGGGGAGGGGAAAAAAAAAGCATATTTTTCTATTCTTTTTTTAACACTACTTATGAAGCTAAGCCGCCTACACGTCGCAGAAGGCATAAAAAACCCTGAGCAGCAATGCCAAGCGGGACCATACTTGGGCAAGCCAACCTACTATAACTTTCTGGTGAAAGCGTCTCCACCTTGATAGATAATGAGCTAGTTTTCGGCCTGAGATCATGAAACATTTTAACACAAGACCACAGTCCTCACTTTCGGTACAGTAGTCCTTTGTTTGGTTCAACTTCTGCCTTTTACACCTCGTTGCGCTTCTGTAACCACTATTTGGATTTCATTTCAAACGCCGGTAGTAGACAGTCGCACAAATTGCCTCGCTATTTTTGGGCTTGGGAAAGATAAGGGCCGCCTTTCATTGGTAAGTCATTAACAAATGACAGATAATGCAGCACCTTGATTGATGCCGAAATGTTTGACTGGCCAAATTGGAGCCACATGTGGATATCAGCCGAGCCGCAAAAATACTTTCCCACCAGAGCACAATGCGCGGCTCAAAAGTAACATGTGGTGTGTGGGATGCACGGGGATTGGATCTTGTACATTGCACTGGAGAGGGGGAATTTGTACAGTACACAAGGCACTTGCTCATCGGTAGAAAGTGAGGAAACAATCCAAGCGTTACCTTATATACGTGTTGTTATCCCTGCAAAATTGCGCGTTTGCTTGGGGTTAAATGCCACCTCACACAGCTCTTCAACTACAGCTGATGGAAAGATTTTTGGTTTTGTTTTTTTTAAATTACTAATGACTCTTCGTAAAACCTCCATTGAGACAAAAAAATTCCAAACCGCCAACTTACACACTCCCTTAGGGTATTTGATTCATTTTAAGATTAATGAAGGAATAGTATGAACAAAAGGAAAAAAAAAAAAGCTTCAGTATTCATGTTTTTGTTTTGAACTATGAAGGCAGGTTGTGGTGTGTTTCTGTGTCAGTACCCTCGACCTAGAATCGTTGTGAAAAGCAGATTTGCCGAGACCACAAACCAACCAGAGGACCCGATGATCTCTTCTGGTGGCATCGGCATACTCGGATGCACTCAAACAGCAATGACACGCATACAAGCACCACTGACGTGCCTCACAAACACCTCATGCACATTTCAGAAAAGACCAAAACAGGAATCTGCGCACGAAAAAGCCATGCAGACCGATCTGAACTCAAATCTATTCCATGTGTTTCGACGCTTGACCCCCCTCACCTCTGCTCAGACGTCCCACACACATGTTGTCAGGGGATACCACCTCCTGTTTGACAGAGAAGTAGTCACCCTGCAGGGGGTTGAGGGGCGTGTCCCGTAGGATGACAGCGGGGTATTCGCTCTCGTACTTGAGTGTCAGTAATTCCTCTGAGCTGATGGGATGAAGCGTCTGGTAGGACTCTGTGATGAAGCTGGGCTCCGAGTATTCAGAGGGGGGAACGCACTGGGCATGCTCGACGCCATAGCCTGAAGTTGGTAGGGAGCAGAGAAGAACCAGAGCAGGAAAGGGAAGAGCAAAACAGAGGAATGAGATGAATCTTTTGAGAAAGAAATGTGATCATCCTTCATGGGATGACTCCAACTGCGGCAGATAACGCTGCGCGGACCCAGCCGAGCCTTCAATGATCAGTAATTCGAGAAGAGCACAACAAGACTTTTACAAAACAAAACAAACAACTAAAACAAAAACATGAATCTACATGAACTTCAAGGCAGTGGTTTACATCTACTTTGATTGGCAGTCGTTCAAAATGAGGGGGATTTTTGCCTGCACTGCTCGAAACCGTCCCAGTTGCTATCTGTTGCCGCCTGCTGCCCCTCGCATGAAATCAGAGCAGTTAAATGAGGACATTATATTTTTCTGAATTAGGGTGAAAATAATAGAACTTATTTTCAACAGACAGACTGCTGGAAAGGACAAACGTTTCAGACGAGATTACAAATTTATGAGCACAAAGATTTGCAAAACCTACACTGTAACGCTTTGCATCAAGGGCAATTCAACATGGCTGGCATCGACTGTGGCAAGTACTTACTGACAAAGTAGTCTGAGGTATACCGGGATTCCTGGAAGTTGGAGGTCAGTCCGTTGTTGGGGTAATGCTTTGTGTCTTCTTCATGAAAAATACATAAAGAATCAGTTGCTGAGCGTCAGTGACCTCGACATTGATTTTATGTATCACGTAACTGCATGCAGCATTATTAAATATGAATGACCTCAGCCAATGTGTGCCTTCCTGTTTGGCTCCTGTTACAATCGCAAATATCGACTAAATGAACACAAGCAAAAGATCACATCCCTTGCGCAGGCTTCTCACATATGACGTTTTAGCGTCATCAACCTTATAACCTCTGTGCAACAACATAGCAATCTTACCTTTTTGAAGCATTTCTAAATGCTCCCAAAGGATGTCGCCAACAAAATCAGGCGCTAAGTCCAGGAAGCGCTCCTTGCCCATGGCGCACAGGCTGCCGCCATTCATGCAGAATCTATCAAAGTCGACGTTCTTCAGACTGAACTCGTTCACAGTCCACGTTAGCCACGCCACTACGTGGCTTTCCGTCCATTGTCTGGGGTCTGGAGAGGATCAGAAAAGCAGGGATTGCCGTGAATATTTTTACCTTGCGCATTTGACACAAACGTTTATTAACAGTCGGAACAGCTGAATTTTCCAGCACGATCTTGCCGCACCTGCTGGTGTTTGTCACTGAATTGAACTGGCCACATTCAGTCCACTTCATTCAAACCGTCAGGCATCGGTGGCCGTAAACAAGCAGAAGCTAATGATGGTGTGCCTGTACAATTCCACTGGCCAATATCAGACAGCAGGACTGTTGTTACCCATAGCAGGAACGGTCGCTGCAGTTGGCCTCAATTACGATGCTACGTAATTACTTTGCTGTCTACATTCAAAGGATGTTGCAGTTTTATCCTGAAATGAAACGCACCCAATGTGAGGCCATGTTTTTCATGCTATCTACGGAAGGATATGACATCTTGTATGTGGCACCATTGTGGTTTTTAGGGCTCAGTTTTGGTTCAGTTGGGAACCCCGGGTTTAAAGACTCATCGGTGTACAAGTCAACTCTACCTTTGGGAATACCCAGTCGCTGCTGTTCTTTGGTGAATCCACTGAAGGTAGCCTTTAGAGCTTGGGACATCATCTCTTTACTTCCGGGAGTTAGCAGCGGAACATCTCCACACTCCGGATCTGCCAAATCACAAATTACAAAGAGGAATGAATTTGACAATACTCTGCAAAAATACTTTCATGAAGTCTATTGCAAATTGTAATCACGTAATAAAGTTGAAGCTTTACAGGTAGCTTCTGTCAAAAACTGTACAAGCATTGCAAACATACACGTGACTGTAAATAACAATGATTACAACATCCTCATGTTAAAAACATTGATCGTCACACCGTTGCGTCTCGCTACACCTCCTTGATCGCAGATGTACGAACAAGCCATTCATTCATGTTCCGAACCGCTTATCACTCATTGATTCAACAGAATTTGACGAAGCATTGTTTCGGGAAGCACACGCAATGTGTAAATGTCTCCTGTATCAAAGGTTCTTCACCCGGTGTTCTGCTTCCAAATAAACACAAGATGTTTATTTGCCCTTGGACCAAAGGCCAACCTCGACCGCGCATACCTTCAAATATTGGGTGGGTGGGCAGATACAGACGCCTGGTGCCCATCAGTGATACGATGACCCCTTCTTAGCCCTCCTGCAATGTTGCCCCGACACAGTGGACTTACTGTCGCCAGACCAAGCATCGGGTCAAACCCTGGGAAGGGTCAGGGGTCAAGAAATGAGGTGATGATGTCATCTAGGCTGTCGGCGAGGACGAGCCAAGTTGGGGGTGTGACCTATCTTGAGGGTCTCAGTCAAGACACTATGCTCACTGTTCTCCGCTCATAGCCAGTGGGCACCCAGTGGGGAACAGAACTCTCTTTGATGCCTTTAAACAGTGCCTGATGACTCGCGCTCATCTAATTAGATTGACCAGACTTAAGAAGTGTGGGATACACAGGCCAACCAGGGAGATGACAAAGGAACAACAGCCACCAAGATTACTAGGATGGACTGCAAAAAAAAAAAAAAAATTTAAATAACAATAACTGGACAAATACTTGGCAAATTAAGAAAAAGGGTGCCTGTAAGGAGATTAACAAGGAAAAAAAAATTATAATTCTGGCTGTTTTGGATTTTAAAAAAAATGAACACGAAATACATCACAAAATTCAGAGGTGCAAGCTTTTCATCAGAGGGATCATTTGATTATTTCAAACAAATAAGCTTGAACTTGAAAAGCATGGAATAGAACATTATATCCTGGAAAGGTTTTCTTATTTGTTTCCTAATTCCTAGTTGCTTTTTGAGGTGAAATTCATCGAAAGCCAGGCAAGAAGGCAAACTGCTGATTAAAAAAAAAAAAAAAAAATGTGTCACACCAGCATCAAACCAACATGTTCAGACATCTTCACTGGGCTGGTGGTTTTATCTTCCAGCAATGCGCATGAAAGCGGTGTATGCTTCATGCCTGCCATGACCACTCACTGACGTCTCGACCCAGTCTGGAATTCACAGCAACATTCCCTCCCTTCGCCCATGTAACCAATCTCTGTCTGTGTAAAGTTTGGTGTGCCTTTTTTTTTTTTCAAGTTGTTATCCTCAAAATAAGTGACCCCCTAAAATTTATGTGATTTAGTAGCCGCTCGAAAATAGGATATAACTGTGCAAAGGCCAAGTTGGTGATCATAATGTTCAAAGTCAGTATAATATACAATTTGCTGCAATTAAGAGTAAATATACGGGTGTTACGGGGTCATATAAGCTGACAACACACATTTCCGATCGCATATTTTTACTTGGGGATAAATTGTTAGTACAGTATTGCGTGACATATGCAGACTCAAAATACAAAAACGTGCTTTCCTCATCTCCCAAAAAACTGGCTAAATGTCACATTTGCTGCAATTTGAGATGGCATTGGGGCTCAGACAGTCTGTGCTTTGATGTAAAGGCCACGGCGATGGGTGGCTTTTTATTTAAAGTGGATCGAGTCGGGTTTGCCTGCACTTTCCAACTGCTTGAGACTCCCCCCCACGCCCCTCCCGTATGCTTTTATCAGCCGCTACAACTTGTAACTTGCGATTGAAGACTTGTGCCCACTTTAACACCAAATCCTCCATCAAAGACATACGGCACTAAGAGCTGCCATTACCCACTCTTTGATGCGAGAAACATGAGAGCTATGGTGAGCGTAAACGCACGAGTGCAGTGGGAGGAAGTTCTTTTGTTTGCATTTGGATACTGAAGATCATCCCTCATTAGTCCCCCATGAAATAATGGCATTAGGAATGGCAGCAATGGCGTTAACAGTAACTGGGGAGGAGTGTCTTTTTCAAAAAAAAAAACACTCAAACCAGCAATCTTCCAATCGGTTGCTGGCCACTTTCACTCTTTGGTCATGACATCCATAAAGCACAGTTTCATAAAAAGTCAAAGCTAACAAGTGCTCATACTAAATTTTCAGGTCAACGCTGTTATGCACAATTACTGTATGTGTCGGGAAACACACATCCAAATTGATGCCAATGTATTCTTTCTTTAGTTTCACAGATATTTGGAGTGTATACTTTATATATTTGTAATGGGCAAATTGAGCTATACTGTATTGAATGTATACAATTTTATCGTAACCTATCATTGTAGTGTAACAACATTCTGATGGAGGTAATCACTCTACTGATGGCTAAAAAGTGATTTAAGTGCTTTAACGGAAAAAAAAAAAAGCATCGCTGAGAATGATCCACGTGAAACTTATCTGCGGCAGAGAGCTAATGTGCAGTGTGCATCCATTAGTGACAGTGGCTATGCTAGCATCATTCTAGGTGCTATCTCGTAAATGATGCCCTGATAGGATTTCAGGGCCTGCGAGTCCCATTAGAAACACAATGGTCAAGTGAGTTCAAGCATCCACAAGTCATCACTTTCCACATTAGACAAGTGTGGTTCTACCCACTTAGCTTACAAACGCGGGAGTGGCTCTGTCAAGACTCCGGGTGGAAAATACATTGCAGAATATATAGAATGGTCTCATTTTATATGTTGTCTATTCTGAGCGGTGCATCAGTCATTTAGGCATTGATTAACCACGCCTCTCTCACCGATATGCGAGTCACGGGCAGACTGCTGACTGTACTCTTTTCACAAAGGGAGTCTCACAAACGTCCAGTGCACTTTTTAAAGATGCGGACTTTCCAGCCAAGCCCATTCTCAACAACTAGCAAAGGTTCTGGAAAGACTTAAAGCTGCTAAACTACAACAAAAAAAAATGTCGTCATCCACACCTGAAAAAAATATCTGGAGCACAAAAGTGATGTAACTGTTTTGCAGATTTTTGCAGTCTTTGCTTCGACAAGAGAGACGAGCAGAGCACGGCTGAATAGGATAGCGAGGGAACATCCTGAGGAGGTGGTTGCTTCAGGACCGCTTAGTATGGGGCGGGGGGG